CAGGCCTAGGCCTGGGACAAAATCAAGCTTTGTCTTAAGTTAATATTATACTTAATTTATATAATATTTTACTTTATAATTTGCATAATGTACTTATACTTTTAAAAGCTCGTTAAAAATTGCTTTGATTTGACATTATAGATGTAATTCATTCTTTTTTCCTGTCTAATACAAGATTGGGATAAATAAACACCCGGGCAATGCCAGGTAATCAGCTAGTTAATGATAAACAAATTATGATTCTACGATAGACTTTAGACATATCCCAGAGGAGTGACTTGTAGGAGCATCCACAAACAGATGGTCTTGTATAAACATTCTAAGTTTATTTCAAGCTAAGAACAAAGAGCCCAACTCAGAATCTTCTGCAAAGACCTTTTGAGTTGACTGAGTTGTAATGGGACAAAATTTCAGACCCCTGGAGTATTCCATATTCTATTGAAATATGATCCAAAACTTCTCGACTTATCTAAGCAAAGAAGATTGCTTCCCTTGATTTCACTTTTTCCTACAATTTTATTTCATTCAAAAGGTTGAAATGTAAAATTCAAAAGAGAAAAAAATAAACAGAGACAAAACTCGGCAAAACCATTTAAAAATGTAAATTAAAAAAGGAGAAAAGTGCATATTCTTATCCCCTCTAATTGAACACTGACAAACCTATTGCAACAATAATAATCCCACCCCCCCACCCCTTACAAAGCAGGTCCAGAATTTGTATGCTTGCACATCTATTTGCAATCCAATTGATCTTCCATGTATTACTTATATGAAATAAAAACTTTTAATAGGTTAAACAACAGCAAAGTTAAAGTTCAAACCACTCAAATCAACTGATTTCCTGGCTCATTCAAACCAATTGGGAAAAATGAGACACGGTTTCATTTCTCCCGATTGCAAAAGAAAAACCAGGACAGCTTTGCCTTCAGTTCAGAGGAAGAACCTGGATCCAAATAAAAGCTGCTTCTCAAAAAATTGGTCAACTGCAATTCTTCTCCTGTCGGATGAATTCCACGTTTTCTCCCAGGTTTACACTAGTCACAGAAAATATGATGGCTCACCCAAGCACTTTGGTGGGCGAGGGGTCCATTCTTGTCCATTACACTGAATCCATTCAGGTCCTTCCAAGACGTAGGAAGGGTCGCACCTGTATTGCACTTGGTCGTTTTCCAGGTACTTGGCTTTCTCAGAGCTCACAATCTCCCCAAAGTCAATCTCATCTGGTTCTTCACATTCTGAAATTATATTTACATTAAATTATTTGATAAGCTTGCTCTTCCTATCTATTCTTATGCACTGTGAGATAACAAATTTCCCTCCTAGACAATTAGCTCCCACTTTTGTCTAAACTAGTGAACCAAGACCTGCTACACACTTAATCCACACTACGGGTAGTCCTTGACTATTGACTTATTGCTTAGTGACCTTCTAAGTTCCAAAAGGGGATATTTACAACTTGGATTTGAAGTTCTGACAGTTGCCCACCCCAATAGTGGCATGACTACACTTTGGACGTTAGGCAACTTCATTGCATTTATAGTCATTTATAGAGTCCTGCAGTAACATGACCCTGTTTTATGTCACTTTTGCCAAAAAAAGAGACACACAAATATTATACTGTATAAAGAAAGCAAAATATACATTTCAAATCAGCCATGCTGGGCAGAATCGGGAAGAAAATAATTCTCAAATAATTGTCTCTAACCCTTCAGCTAGTGAATTTGAAAGAGTCTGAAATTGGGTAGCATTCACAACTTCTCATGACAATTAGTTACCAGTTAATTTTACATTTATTGGGACAGGAATACCTTCTATGTTTCTTCAATATTTTAAGATCAGTTCTCCTCTTTCTTTTCCTTTATGAATGACTTTTGCAACCATTAAACACAGTGATAAATATATGATTGCCTCAGAAGTATGGCTATTAATATTAATATCAGCAAATATAGTCTTAGCTTCAATATCTTGTCAATATTATCACGCTTGTCTTCTTGTGAAGGATACAATCATTGTGAATTAAGATCTACTAAGTTCTTTGTATTTATCCTGATATAAACCCAACTGAAATACATCTCTATAATTTCCATCACTCTGACCTAGGAAGCCTCATCTTAGACATGGTAATCAATTGGTTATTATCATATCAAGTTCTTTATTAACTGAAAACGTCCCTCAAAATGGGTGTGAATTATAATACTGATGCAAAGTATTTTGCTATTCACAAATCATGTGCTAAAAAATCTTGTATTTGAAAAGGGGATTGGAATTATAAATCCATGATATTCTTAAAGAACTTGATATGACAAATGTCCAGAAAGCCACAAATGAAAAATTGAACCCTTTGGTTTTGCCAAAGTAACTGGTCCTTTGATGGCTGCATCAGAAACTGTTTCCCTTGGCAACCCTTTGGTTTCTATTCTTAACTTACCATTTTGAGAAGAGCAGCCTGGCCAGAGAAGAAACGAAGTGACCAGGAGCAACCAGGCCTTAATGGCTCTTCGGGAAATCTCCCAGCCAGTAACAGTCAATTCAGCACTTGGGCTATTTCTCTGACTTCTCTGAACTACTATCCCTTCCTCCTTTATGCTTTTTATTACAGAACTTG